TACAGGTGCGGTGAGCGCCACAGCTGGTGCGGTGTCAGTTACAGCAGGGGCTGTGACTGCTGCCTCTGGTGGTGTGACTGCTGCGACAACAGGTGCAGTGACTGTGGCAGGTGCAGTGATTGCACCGTCAACAAAGTGCAAGCAGAGATCGAGCACTAATGAAAACAGTCGGTTCCACCCGGGGTCTATGTCTGTGATTGATGAGCGCCCGGCAGACACGGGTTCTGGGGCTGGGCTGCGTGTGAACACTTCAGAAGGGGTTGTGCTCCTGAGCTACTCGGGGCAGAAGACCGAAGGCCCACAGCGGATCAGCGCCAAAATTAGCCAGATCCCCCCAGCAAGTGCAATGGACATTGAATTTCAACAGTCGGTATCCAAGTCCCAGGTCAAACCTGATTCTGTCACACCATCGCAGCCTCCGCCCAAAGGCCCTCAGACTCCAGGCTATGCAAACGTGGCCACCCATTCTACTCTGGTGCTGACTGCCCAGACGTATAATGCATCTCCAGTCATTTCATCTGTTAAGGCTGACCGGCCATCTTTGGAGAAGCCCGAGCCCATTCACCTCTCTGTGTCCACACCGGTCACCCAGGGCGGCACAGTGAAGGTTCTCACCCAGGGCATAAACACACCCCCAGTGCTGGTTCACAACCAGTTGGTCCTCACCCCAAGCATTGTCACCACTAATAAAAAGCTTGCTGACCCCGTCACCCTCAAAATAGAGACGAAGGTCCTGCAGCCGGCTAACCTGGGGTCCACTCTCACCCCCCACCACCCTCCTGCTCTGCCCAGCAAACTGCCTGCGGAAGTGAACCACGTCACCTCGGGGCCCAGTACCCCGACAGATCGAACTGTCCCCCATTTGACAGCCACAAAGCCAGATGCACATTCTCCTCGACCCAGCGGGCCTGCTCCATCCCCGTTTCCAAGGGCGGGCCACCCCAGCAGCAGCACGTCCACTGCACTCCCCACTAACGCCACAGTCATGCTGGCTGCAGGCATCCCTGTGCCCCAGTTCATCTCCAGCATACACCCAGAGCAGTCTGTCATCATGCCGCCTCACAGCATCACCCAGACTGTGTCCCTCAGCCACCTGTCCCAGGGAGAAGTGAGAATGAACACACCCACACTGCCTAGCATCACCTACAGCATCCGACCAGAGACCCTCCACTCTCCTCGGGCCCCCCTGCAGCCTCAGCAGATAGAGGTCAGGGCCCCGCAGCGCGCAGGCACACCCCAGCCGGCCACAGCGGGTGTGTCCGCCCTGGCCTCCCAGCACCCTCCAGAGGAAGAAGTGCATTATCACCTGCCTGTTGCTCGGGCCACAGCCCCTGTGCAGTCAGAAGTACTGGTCATGCAGTCTGAGTACCGACTGCACCCGTACACCGTGCCCCGGGACGTGAGGATCATGGTGCATCCCCATGTGACGGCAGTCAGCGAGCAGCCTCGGGCAGCAGACGGGGTCGTGAAGGTGCCAGCAGCCAGCAAGGCCCCTCAGCAGCCAGGGAAAGAAGCTGCCAAGACGGCAGATGCCAAAGCAGCCCCTGCCCCCGCCCCTCACGGCGAGGCCCGCATCCTCACAGTCACCCCCAGCAACCAGCTCCAGGGGCTGCCTCTGAGCCCGCCTGTGGTGGTGACCCACGGGGTGCAGATCGTGCACTCCAGCGGGGAGCTGTTTCAGGAGTACAGGTATGGGGACATCCGCACGTACCACGGCCCAGCTCAGCTCACACATGCTCAGTTTCCTGCTGCTGCCTCCATAGGCCTGCCTTCCCGGACCAAGGCCCCCACTCAGGTGAGAGCACCAAAAATCGGCCTTCCAGTGTCAGTAGTGGCTGAGGAGCCAGTGTGGTCCCTAATGTATGTCACTGTCTTCATGGATTTAAAGAGGAGCTCCCTAAATTTGGGGATGAAGGGATCAGATCATAGTACAGGGAGCTCAGAAACATGGAAGGAGCCCTTTGTGAACTGGTGGAGTGGTGGCTCCTGCCAGCAGTGGTGAGGAGGGAGGGAACAGGTGACTTCCTCTTACCAGAGCCCAAGAGCATCACCGACTGGTTAAACCCTGTCTGTGGGCCTGGCTGATAGGAGTGCCTGCAGCTGACCCTGCCCAGGGCCGGTTGGTTGGGGGCAGGGTGTTGTGCATAACAGATTCTGACTGTCCCTCTCTCTTCCCACTCAATGCCAGGGCCCCCCTACTGAAGGTGAACCCTTGCAGCCCGCTCAGCCTGCACAGTCTACACAGCCTACCCAGCCCATGCAGCCCACGCAGCCTGCCCAGCCCACACAGCTCTGCCAGCCCTCGCAGCTCAGCCAGCCAGGCCAGTCACCAAGCAGCAAGATGCCTCAGGTCTCCCAGGAGGCGAAGGGGACCCAGACAGGAGTAGAGCAGCCTCGCCTCCCAACCATACCTGCAAACAGGCCAGCCGAGCCTCATGCCCAGGTTCAGAGGGCACAAGCAGAAACCAGCCAGACCTCCTATCCTTCCCCTGTGTCTGTCTCCATGAAGGCTGACCTCCCGGGCCCTCTCCCTGCTCAGGCTGCCCCAAAGCAGCCAGTATTTGTCCCCACAACCTCAAGCCCCAGCACCCCTCCAGGACTGGCTGTGCTGCACACTGAAGCCCAGCCCTCCCCCAAACAAGATTCTGCTCCACACTTGACTTCCCAGAGGCCTGTGGATATGGTCCAGCTTCTGAAGGTAAGCCTAAGAGGGGTCCCTCCATGACCCTCCAAGCTTTGTGCTGTGTTAAAATGTCATAAGACCCCCACTTAGCCCAGCAAGCTGCTGTCTAGCGCCATGTGCAGCATGGCTCTGCTCTCCAGCCATGAGCTCACTTCCTGTTTGTTTCCTCATGGGCAGAAATACCCCATTGTGTGGCAGGGCCTCCTGGCCCTCAAGAACGACACAGCTGCTGTGCAGCTCCACTTTGTCTCTGGCAACAATGTCTTGGCCCATCGGTCACTGCCCCTCTCTGAAGGAGGTCCCCCACTGCGGATCGCCCAGAGGATGCGCCTGGAGTTCTCACAGCTGGAAAGTGTTGCCCGAAGGATGACGGTAAGATGGGGCCTGGGCAAGGTAAGGTGTGGGTGACTCCCGCTGCCTGTCTCCCTGGCTTGTCACTGACTAGATGATGAGGGCACGTTCTGTCTCTTCTGGGGGGTGTAAAACGCCTTCAGCAAATACGTGGGTGGACTTCAAGGTCATTTCAGAGGTGGGGGGACTTTTGGGGACTTCAGAACCAAACCCCTGGGTTATACAGGCCTCTGCATGTTTTGTGAGGAGGCCCTGATCGCTGACAGCTGCCTCTTTTCCAGGTGGAGACAGATTACTGTCTGCTGCTGGCTCTGCCATGTGGCCGTGACCAAGAGGACGTCGTGAGCCAGACCGAGTCCCTCAAGGCTGCCTTCATCACCTATCTGCAGGCCAAACAGGCGGCAGGGATCATCAACGTCCCCAACCCTGGCTCCAATCAGGTCAGCCCCGTGCCCAGTGTCCTTCCCTGGTGCGGGCAGGTCAGGTGGTCTAATGTGGTGGCATGGGCTTCCAGTGCCGACTTGGGTAGTCTAGGACAGTTTCCCAGAGGAGGTGGGCAAAGGGCATTCTGGACAGAGGAAACAGTAATGGGCGTGGCCACCATTGCCCATCCTGGAGACAGTCAAGGGGCAGCTGAGGCAGCAGAGGTTTTTCTTTGGCTTAGATGTAGAAGAGGTTCCCAAGGTGTTCATGTTAGTTTTCTGACACATAGTTTTCTCCTAGTGAACAAAGTCATGGAGACATTAGCTGTTTGGGAACCACTCAACCTGGCTCTGCATTGGGCCTCATTGGGGCCCCAGTTGGAAATGTTTAAAGGAGAATGGTAGTGGAGTGGGTGATGTGAAGACAGCGGGGGTCCCACTTTTCTCTCTTGTCCCCTTCTCCAGCCCGCCTATGTGCTGCAAATCTTTCCACCCTGCGAGTTCTCTGAGAGTCACCTGTCCCGTCTGGCCCCTGACCTGCTCGCCAGCATCTCCAACATTTCTCCCCACCTCATGATTGTCATTGCCTCTGTGTTGTGAGCCACTGAATGGTCAACACTTGGTGTATTTTCCTGAGGCTTTGCAGCAAAAAACAAACACAGGACAACCCAGCCAAGTGGAGGAAGACGCTGTCGGAGGGAAGACTCCACTGCCAGACGGCCAGCCTCACCCTCCTGCCCGCCCGCCCAGCTCAGTTGGACAGACCCCTCTGGGCAGTGGTGCTGCTACTTGTATGTTTACATGACATTTAGCCCAAGGACAGACCACCAACCGATGGACTCGCAGACACCTTGGGGCTGGGTTTCTCTCTCCTCTTTTTGGAGAAAAGGAACAGGGCAGTGGAATTAATTATTTTGTTGTTTTTGTTTTTAAGAAACAAGAAAACAGAACTGCCTTTGCACTAAATTAGTGACTTGGACTTTTGCACAGTGAAGATAGGCTGTGACACTCTGGATGTCGGTGTCGTGAACACACATCGCAGACTCTAACGCAGGACTTCAAACTTCTGCGGAAACCTTGGGGTCAAGGAACATTTCATTGGGTTGTTTTGTCCCCACCCCCTTCCTTCCCCTTGCTCATCTGGATGTCACCTTTCTTAATTCTCCTGCCACCACATCTTTGATTCACCCAGGATGTACAGTTTACAATCGGAAAAGAGCAAACAGAAGGATTTTGTTTCTTGGTGGGATATGCAGAACTTGGGATGTGTGTATATATAAATATATAATATATATAAATATATATAATACTGACTTAAAAAAATCAAATTCCCCTGACATACATTTTTTTTAATCTGTGCCAAAAATGTGTTTTCAGAGAAAATCTTATTTTCATACTCAGACTTTGTATTGTCACTCATTTGTATAAGTGCGCTTCGGTACAGCACGGGCCCTGCCCCCATGATCTGGGAGTGTCTC